GTAACCTGCCATGAAAATTATAGAAGGCAGAAAACAAAACGTTAAAACATTGTGATTTCAACTACAGCCATAGCTTAACTGGGTTCTATGCCGATTTGCGCTCCCCAGATCAACCCCGCTGACGGGTGATTGCTGTGGCAAAAAGATCGATAGAAATAGCTGAGAGACGTGCGAAACAAAGGACCCGCATGGTGTGGTGGTGAACGCGTTACTCCCCGGAAAGGACAATAGCGCGTTCGTTCCCCACCATAGACACCTGCGGTCCAGAGTTTTGCAAATATCTCAGCAACGTTGTGGTTGTACAACACATTTACTTCTGATAGTGATGGATAGGATCTGAAGCTCACCAGGCGGGATCATGTCTTCCAGGGGAAAAAAGCTGGAGAAATGCGGAACCACAAGAATGAAAAGGATCCTGCTACAGAACATCAGGGAAGATGTACGACAGCGTTACACAAACTCTCTGCGTGTACATACGGCGACTGAACATCTATAGCGACTCTGTGAAGCACTGAACAAGTGGAAAACGGAATAGGACCCTGAGAACTCGAAAAGCAGCACCAACAAGACATAGATTTCAACGCTCACCTTTTCCACCAAAAACCTTGCGCTCTGAGATATGGTGGAGACACATAATACCGAGTTAAACCCCACCGTTTACACCTTCGACGAATATTTAGCCATCGTAACGTAGAAAAACGTGCATGTAGGAAGCCTCCTACACGATAACTGGTGTGTGTGCCAGTGCACGTAAATCATTTCTACTCATATGTGGATGAAATTTCTGAGAAAGTGCGTGGAATCTGATGAACACTTCGTTATGAAAGATGCAAATGAAGAGAATATTGACGATATTGAAATGACGTAGGAACTACTTTCTAATAACGTTGACCATAATATGTAAGCATGTAAAAAACCACAAAATATGAAAGCGAGAGCATTGCAAAAAATACAAACCCGTTCTTCAATTGGATCTGTGGTATTGAAATGGTCATCCGGTGTGCTAAACTGGCTAGATTTTTCTGACATCTGAAAGTGATAATGAGTGTAAAATTTTGCTAGGACGGTTAAAAATCGAAGCTGTAGCACTCACTTGTCTTGGTTGTGGGGTAGGGATTTGTATCGGTGCACTCTTTGCCAATGACGTAGAGGGAAGCTCGTCCTCCTCTCCCTATTAGAATAATTTCTGATGAAAGCTTAACTCCATACAACAGCACAATAGGTACAATGGCGTTTAAGATGCATTAACTTCTTTGGTCTCAACGATTTTCAAAACTGGTTATCGATTACTTGATAAGTACTGTATTTTTAAATCTTTTCTTTGCAAGAAATTGTACATCATATATATTGAGGTCGCATACACTTGCAAAATGTTTACGTCCTAATTCAGCCGACTGATTCCCATTTCAAGAGATCTCTCCGTGAAAGTAACTGCAAAAAATTGGAAAGGACAAGCTGTTCATAGAAAAAAATTTTTAAGTCGCTACGAAGACACGACAAAATCAATCACTTTTGAGAAAAGTCGGATTTCTAAATTGAAATTTGCAAGCTTTCTTCAAAATGTCATACGATTGGAAAACGAAGACACAGGTCCAAATAAGTACCACTTACAAGCATGGAAAGCTGATTTAGTGACGGCGTTGGCATGTTCAAACTGGAGGACGAGCCGATCCTTGACGGAGGGGATTTTGTCATTAGTATAGTTGTTAGGGCAGATGGAGACGAATCCACACCATCGTCAGTACTGTACAATATGTCCTATTTCTCAAATGAATCATCCTTATGATAAGTTTGCGTACCTTAGCCAGTTTGTACTGGAAAAATTACGAGTCAAAGTTGATAGCGAAAAAGCTACATCTGCGGTAAAAAAGCTTTCTTCTCGTCGCATTACATGAGGTAGAACGGGAGATGGTATGGAAGGATCCCTAAAATTAGGTAAACACGTTTCAGTATATATAATCGTTTGCAAATAAGTTAATCAAACCTGACACCAAGACGAACAAATACTTGAGGACTCGGCATCTTCATGTACTGTTTCAACTCTTCGACGTTCTTAAGTTTATTTTATAAAAAATAAGATGGTATACCAAAAAAATGTATATGTAACAAACATTTGCCAACTCCCTTAGATAATTCACATCGATTGGAGGTAGATAGTCGTCAAACTTCGGCAGCGATTTAATATAAAACAATGGCAGATTGTCGAACATACCTGGACGAAAATAGTGATTGACAACCAAGCAAATAAGGTTTGAAATGATGGTAAAAATTGGAGGCCATTCATACTCTTTCACTTTAAACCCACCTTGGAAAAGTACGCGAAGGAAATGTTTTTCCATCTTAGTAGAAAATTGCAAGCGGATTCTTGATTCTTCCTCAGAAAACAAAGCGGATTTTTCGACATGTAGTGCATGCCACGAAGTGAATTCTTTATTGAACGTAGTTCGACGAACCACTTCGCTAACAGCCGTAGTATAGATCATAGGTGCTTCCTATAACCAGATATCTATTTTGAAAACCAAAAAAAAAGCCAGATTAAAGCGAGTAGAAAGAGACCTTAATTTGTCTAACGAGATCCAGCCGCTGTTTTAATCCTGTGAACTTCTCCTCAAATACAAGAACTTCGTTATTGGCGTGATGTAACCGATCATACGTCTAAAATAAAAATTGGAATCCTTGTAGCATTAAAAAACCGGTAATCCTTAGAAACTATGAGCAGAGTTTTGCAGATGATCAACGAGTTTGTATGTTGAGGATTTACAGAAAAGTGGGGGAAATGATTCTCGAAACAAAAGGATACCAGATTTCTTTAACGAGGCAGAGCAACGAGCTCAAGGATGTACTTCACATTTTTGTATAACAAGTGAAAACTTTACGCTTTAAAATGTATAATGTGTGTATAAACATCGAACCCGAACAATCCATGAATTAAGGCGCACTCTGAGAAGTTTAAGAACTTCCAACTTTGACTTAAAAAAGCGGCTACATATTAAACGAATTTCCTTGAGTTCCACGTAGATTTGGCTCATTAAGTGACGATGCTCGCACAACAATTCCTGAATACACGAAAATACGAAGAGTAATGTACTTACACACAACAAAATCTCTTGAAAGGAAATCATACCTCTAGTGAAGATTGATCGATGCGGCTAGGCGTTTCGACTATCTTCGAAGTGTGTCTCTCTATCGTTTTATCCCGCTCTACAATATTGGTAATTTGGAGCTACACATATGTAACTTCATTACCGTCCCAACGGTTTACCACCTCAACTTGGTTGGGAGGTGTTCCTGGATGTTGGACTGCGATGTACAGCGCGGCTATTCATCCCCTAGCAAGATCCCAAAGGTGAGAAGGAATCTAGAGTTTCCATCAGAAAGCCCAGATAAGAGCAAACCAATACCAGGATCCGTCACCATCCTGGTACCAAAGTCGCATGGTGGTAAATCTCCCTCTGATCCACAAGGGCTGCGACTGGCCGTAGTGGTGAGGACCTGGGCAGGCTTTAGCCTGACTGACCTCAGGACTTCGGGGACCACAATGGCTATACCAGAAAAACTCCGAAATGAAAGAGATTATGCTGAGGCCCGCACCAGTGAGGACGGGTCAACCAAGTATCCAAATAAGTAACTTGATTACAACAAAAGCACACCTTCAGCCTGCTGCAAATGATGATCCAGGTAACTCAAACGCTTATTAATTCCCTTGATCTCCCGACAGTTCACGTCCTTTGATAATTCTACTACTTTTTCAATGTTCTGCACAGTAGAGTTGGCATCCATTTTACCAAACTGAAAGATGAACATTTACGAAGTATGAGTTGGTTACAAACATTAACAACAAACAAATTTCAAACCACCAACATTTTTTAGCTGTTCGTCCACTTGCTCAACGAGTTCCCGGAGAGTGTGTTCTGGGTCAGAAGCGGAAATCCATGCGTACAAAGAGATATCAGAATGAGAAGCATCGGAATTACCACGAGAATGAGCCAAAAGTGAACCCGGAATGCGGATCTGTTAAATGGTAAAAGAAGCAATAAGAAATGGCGAGATTAAATAACACGGAGTGTCACCAGGTCACCCAAATTTAGAACGAGCATACAACACACCTGCTTGAGTTCCCTCATGACTTCCTCGAAACCTTGAAGGAGGGCAGCTGCTTTTTCCTTTTGTTGTTGAACCTGAATCAGTACAAACATGCAGGATTCTCGCTCGTTTCGTAGCGAATCGGACACTCTATACTGAGGAAGAAAACAACATCTACTACTAACATACTCGTTAACTATCACCACTTTCAGATGATATACAAATTGGTGATTAGTAATTTTAGGTGAACGTAGTCAAAGGAGAACTGAATTAATCAGTGTTCATCGGCTAAAATTATAAAATCCCAATATCCCGATAGTTTCTGCTCGGAAAGCAATGTTCGTTTTACTTCCCTAAACCTTGGTCATACTAGAAAAGTCTCCAAATGGTAGATCTCAGCCTCTTATTTCCTACCGGTGTTCTCGCCTTTCTGATGTTCGATTTAGATTATTCGAATCTAAATAGAAACTGGCGAGAGCAAGTCAGAGAGGAAAGCCACGAAAAGCATTCGCAACATCAACATTAGATTTGGCCACGAAGCCTTTAAACTGCGCACGCTATAATGCTGGGTTCAAACGCTTCCTAATGGAGACGATAGCAAGAACAATAAAGGCTGGAGACGACCCAATGTCACCAACGGTGACCATTTGAGGAAATTGGCTGGAGAAATTCAGAATAAAAGTATAATAGGACAAACCTCTCGGCATTGATCAATCCCTGAAGGATGCGCCACGCATTCGACTCCATTAAGCATCGTTTGGAGGTGACTGAATACATGCCTGGTCTTTACAATGACCAGTGGTGGTCTACCGATGTATCAAACCAGTGATGGCATCCTCCCAGACAAGTTTGGTACTAATTTGCCGACCCTGAAGGGATGGAAGGCTTGGTGGGCCATAGGAACGGGGATCGATCCCACGTGTGTGTTGAAGTGAGCCTGCGACCGTTGCAACCGCCCAGGAAATCCAAAAGAGTGGAGAATTGGAAATCACGTTAACTTGGAAAAGAAGAGGTCGCCGATTCACTCGTCTTAGGAAATAAGTTGGCATAGAGATCCCTTTATGACATGCGAAAAAATGGAACCAATGACAATCGAGGACGTTTCGACGTCATGTACAACAATAGATAAACATGAAGCACTAAAATAAGGAAAGGTGGGACAAATTTCTCACGTGTAGAAGATGGAGTCACCCACCACAACTTCTGGAATCTTAGTTTAGTCGTTAAAGTGAGAATTTTCTGATTTTCTACTTTTTTATTCTACACGATCCGTCGTCACATCTACTGTGTTGATCTTCGGCACTTGCATTCGGTTGGTTTCCTCGCCTCTATCATCCACGAAGGTCTTCTAACTTTTCGTGTGTGGGTTCGACGGCTGCTTGAGTATTGCCGTTTTCTTCATGACTGCTGCTGAATTGTGGCACAGCGGGTTCTCCCGAATTCCCTGCATAGCCGAGTTATTCGCAAGGATTCTCTTCCCCTGCAAGCCTAGCACCAATTTCCCCACTCTAAAAAGGTGAAAGGTGTGGTCAATTCCGGCTGTGGTCGAACCAGCACCGTACCCATGAAAAACTGAACCATTACCAAGCCTATTGTCGACAGTAAAGGGATAATTTATGGAAATTCAAATAATGCTCCAAAAACTGGACTATTGCACGAAAACGTTCCGTTATACAACAATGTAAGAGTTGGAAGAATTTGGGTACGGAACTTTCCGTCTTTTAGCACACTCACCTGAACCCTTGCCAATAGAATAGAACTATTTTGTTACTTCACTAACAACATCTTTGCATAGGAATCCCTTAGAAAAATTAGGGTTTTCTGGAGCTTAAGGCATAACTATGGAAAAGCAAATTAACTTGTAACTTGGTGGTAGTATGTTTCCTTTTTTTGTAGACATCTATTTACGAAGTTTACTAGGAGGTGGGTGACAGGTTCTTGAAAGTGACGGTTGAAGAAAAGTGGTTACTATCTTCTGGATGACCTAACCTATATGCATGTGATAACAGAGATCGGTAATTTTCAGAAACGCTTATAAAAAAGTTGCCAACGGTGAATGGGACAAACAATTTACATAGCTACTGTATTATAACAGATGACATCTAGCTTTTAATTTTGAGCGTAACAGCTCTACAGTTTAGATAAAAACGTGTGTGGCACATCATTACAAAGGTTAATATATTAAGCTGGTTCAAAAACGATGACCATTTCCCAGCTATGGACTTTGCAAATAAACTTTGAAGTAAGAGCTTGGGGCACTCGTTGTCTATGGATGACACTTCGAGGCTAGTCTCTTGCTGGAAACTTATCACGCAATATTTCTTCCAGAAAGACTTCACAGTGGCTCCAGGCTAGTATAGATGTCCCTAAATCGTTTAAATCCCTTCACGAGTTCAAACCTGAGAAGTCGAAATATCACCGAAGCAGGTTAGGGCATGGCTTCACAATGTTTAGTACACAGATTGTGCGAAAGATTCCGCATATTGACATAAGCTCCGTAAGCGAGTATTTTTCGCTCAGAGAAGATAGAACTAAGTAATAAAAGCCTTCGGTCGTTGCAAAACCATCAATGCAGAAGTGCTGTAGAGCAGTCGATAGAATACTAAGAAAAACCGTATTGCATATATTCGAAATTGGTCAGAAGAAAAAGCACTTCTTGTTCTATGACTATGCTCGATGAAACGTTGGAAAAGTTGGATGGGTAAGGTTACCAAACTATAATTCACCTGTTATGCTAACATCGGACTTCTCATTAGCCAACAAATAGCTCTTCTTTTCGAGCACCTGGTCAACTACTATTTTAGAAAACATTCGACGAGCAAAGTTCTTTAAAAATTGCCTATGAAAAACTTGCCGCTTCCACAAATCCAGAGTTTTCTTCTAGCAAAAAAAAACAGAGCCGCATGTTGTTGACACTGATTCACAAAACTACTGCATCAACTAGGTTACAGTATTACAAAGTTGCTGTTCAAAAACTTCCATTACATATGAATCAGTTGTATACACGCATATCTTTCAGAACCCTACTGGTCAATCTGGCATAGCAGAGATGGACTCAGTTTTTTGAGTCCGCCCTTAGCTCAAGGAAAATATATAGCCGTCCTTGGTTCCGCGTCTAAGCCCTTATCTGATACCTTAAGACGTTCAATATAGCCTTACTAGTGTTCGTATGCCTTCTACTGCTATTAGCTGAATTTTCACTAATGTGAATCAGACGTAACTCAATCACAGATTGTATGGCAGTAAAGTCGGTCAAATCTACAAAAGAAATCTCAAGTTTTGCATCGGAATAAACCTAGCAAACCTTTTCAACTTGATGCTGGAAGCGTGCAGCTCGCTTTCTAAGGCGTGTAATGGAATTATCCATATTATTCACTAAGGCCAACCATCCCTACAAAGAAAGTAAATAAACTTCATGGCTCGCAAAGCCTGTTACTACAAGAAACCTGGTGAATTAAACGGTGCTCTTCTGCAAAACGAGCACATGAATGAATAGCGGTCTGCGAAGCGGCGCGACATTCACGCGCTCGTTGTGGAATTCCCAAATAGACGCTGTGCATATCCGAATTCTGCTCGAGTCGAATGGCCTAGAAAATTCCAGGTTATGGAGGTAAGACAGCACGAAGAAAATCCTCATATCACTATATGAGCACGAACATTTTCAATAGAAATGTCAATGATGCTGGTTATCTCGTTAATTTCCTGTTCCCAAACTCGATTGTCCTCTTTATCGTAACGACTGCTCCGTTGAAAAAGATAAACTGGATCGTCGGCATTGTCTGAATAGCCACATAACACGAACATAAAAAACAAATCCTAGGCCAAAAGAATGGAAGAAACTGCCAAACCCCCAAAGTCTCAAATAGTTTCTAAAATAAGGGCCAAAAGTCTTACTACAAGGACAAGCACACTGAATAAGCTCATCGCTATCCAGAATCTCTCCACCCGACCTGAGCAGAACCTAGAAACACAATAAGTTTCTGTGTTCATAGAAGAACTAGAGCGAAGCATAACTACCTGATCATCAATTCGAATACCGGTCAAATGTCGAATAGTTTCTTGGAGTTGAAGGGTTGTCCAATGGGGCTGAAATGTTATCCCTAGACACTGAAAACACCATGATACGAAGAGTTCAAGATGAGGTAACTGACCGACAACTCCACGTGAAAACGGTGTCCACTAGCGACATTGAAAATGTAGAAGAACTCCATTCGTTCTCTTATGAACATCAATCATATGTACATCTGAAAACATTAACACAGAGTCTCTCCACGAGACACACCGCCAAAGAACTGAAGATCTCGTTTAAGGATACGCGTGTGGAATACGATATTATTACAAAATATTTCCATTTCGAAAATAAGCACAGCTTAAATCGCAAACAATAAGAATTGAGAGTGCGAACGAATTTTGTGCGACATTGGCAAGAGAATACCGTATATGCGCAAGCGCTGTAAGACCATAAGACTTTGGACCGCTGCATTATTCTGAGCTTGTCTAGCCCATTGTTGCCCGCTGGCACTTTAACAGAGTGTAAAGACCATTGTCCCTACGTTGAGCGAAACCTTTCAACACTGGGTTTATAGATTATCTTTTGACAAGGTGTGGAATGCACTGCCTTGACGGAATATGGCAGATAGTTGAGTTTCTTGTTTCTCTTCCACATTGCGCCAACCCACGCCACAAATAGTGCCGCGTGTGGCGTAGTTGTCAGGGACGCCCTGCAATGCACACTTGGATCGATCCCCGATCCTAACGCTCACCAACCTTTCCATCCCTCTGGACTCAGAAAATAACTGGTCTGGGAAGATAGCAGCACTGGCTCGATAAATTGGTAGGCCACCGCGTGTCATTATGAAGGCCAGATAAGAATTCAGTCACCTCCAGCGATGCTTAGTGAAGTCGAATGTTTGGTGCATCCCTCAGGGATTGGTCAACGCCGAGAGCTTTATCCTTTTTATCCTTTTATCTCACGAACAAGTTTGCGAGGAAATTTTTCGACCTCGAATAGCCAGAAGGTTTTATTGCGCTTCATGATGAATTCCTAACACTTGAACACAAAGTGTGGTTTTGCGTGCTGGGAACAGTATATGTATCTATTTTAAATGGTAAGCTAACACGAGTTTGTTACCAAGGAATTTATGTGGTCAACGTTTAATAGATTATCAACGAAAGAAGGTACATTCATCATTCATACAGAGGTTAAACAAAAGTCGGTTTGCAATAGTAATATGTATGTTCAAAAATTTAGCAGGCTTTACATACATACTTGATACTTGAACGGTTTATCCTCGCTGGTTGTGCGGGCCCAGTATAATCACCACTTTTCGGAGATTTGCTGGTTAAGCCATTATGGTTCCCTGGAATCCTAAGGTCAGGTGGAATCCTGACCAAAGTATTCCTCAGGCCTTCACCACCACAGACAGTCGTATTCCTTGTGGTTCGGAGGGAGATTTGCCGCCATACGACTTTGAAACCAGGACGGTGGTGGGTCCTGGTATTAGTTTTCTTTTAGCTAGGCTTCTTGGTGGAAACGCCGGACTCCTTCCCAGCTTGGGAGACTCTGCCGGAGGGACGAATGCCCGCGCTGTACATCGCAGTCCGACACCCAGGAACACCTGCCAGCCACGATGAGGCGGTAAACCGTTGGATGGTTAGGAAACTTTATGTGCGAAGAAAATTAAATCGGACATCTGATTCAAAGCTCGTTTCAAATAGACGTGGCGTCCGCATCCTGTAAATAACCCTTCCTAAAATAGTTGGGTTTTTGAAGTTTCTTGACTATTAAACTGTTATAGTCATCAATATATTGACGATGACATGAGCAGTATACGACTCATGCATTCCGCGATAAAACTGAATTCATATATGGCTTTTTTTCTTGGCTGTGTACTTTGACTAAATAGAAGTGATATACTTCCACAACAACGCTGAGATATTTGCAAAAGTCCTGACCGAAGGTGTATGCTGTGGGGAACAAACGCGCTATAACATTTTCCGGAGGCTAATGCTTTCACCACTGTATTACGCGGGTCCTTCTTTTGGCTTGTCACCTAGCTAGTTCTATCGGCCAGTGCTATCTGCAATCACCCGTTAATGCAACTGACCTGGGGAGCCCAAATTGGAATGGAACGCCATTGAAATAGATGTTTTTGATGAACTTTTTGTGAGTATTCGGTAGCTTATCCGGCACAGGAGTTGTGATGGGCGTTGGCCAAGAAAAGCTCTGCACTGACCTGTTAATTTACCACAAAATTTTTTTTGACAAATTTATTCATCGCTTTGGATTCCGCAACGGGCACTCTCATGTCTGCTGTAGTTGAACACCAAAATTCACAACTTAAGGCACTTCATAGACATTGTAGGACGAGAAGTCATTAAGGAGACCGCGTTTGTTGCTCACATTCACCAATTGTTTCTCGTGCTTTTGCAAACATCATAGTTTTCAACTCTTATTGGCATCGTCTTTCACTATTGCTTTAAAGGTTGTATTCAAAAGCGTTCAATTCTCAACCAGCAATGTCTCCAATTGGCACTTTTTACTCACAAAAATTTTACATTGTTTGCACTTTTTTTTACTTTCTATTATTACAAGATTCTAAATCACATGTGTCACATTTTGTAGATGGACCACAGATTTTTGCATTCGATTCGTTTCCTTGCACACACCATCCACGAATATCATCGAACCTATTTTGCGTGTAACCTATTCAGCTGCTAATTGAGGATTTTTTCATGTTCGTCACGAATACCGCTTAACGCTAGTCTAGGCGACTCCATAGAATGCTGAGATAGCCATGATAGGGCGTTACCAGGCGTACTGCAAGGAATCAGAATGTCTCGGACAATTTTGGTACCACCTTCTCAATTCCGTAGCAATAAGAGGATTGGTAGGACCGGAGCGAGCCTTTACAGGTTTTAACTGTAGTGATCACAATCTTAACCTTTTATTCACTGCCTACTCTTTCTAATGGCAGGGTATGTTGCGAAATATAACTTCTATGATGCTGAGACATTTGCAGAACTCTGGCTCGCAGGTGTCTGCGGTGGGGAACGAACGCGTTATTGTCCTTTCCGGAGGTTAACGCGTTCACCAGCACACCATACGGGCCCTTGGTTTCTCCTGTCGTTCACCTAATTCTACCGATCACTGCCCTCAGCAATCATCCGTCAGCGAGATTGATCTGGGGAGCCCAAACCGGCAGTGAACCCAGTTAGGCTGAAGCTGTAGTGATCACAGCCTACAAACTCTACAATGCGGCTTTTCACGAATTTACATAGGATTACAACTATTAAAATTCTCTACAGTGTGTATATTCATTATCTACTTTTCGTATGGCATTTATTGATATATTCTAAACAAAAATTGTTGATGCGTTGGCTGCACTCACTTGCTTTGCTTGTATTCCAGCAGATCTAGAGCCATAACATCTAAAGAATTATTTATAGCTCCCTATGTTGAGTCCCCGAAGAGAATCGACTCGACCAGTATTCAAGAGATTAAAGGCGAAAGGAAAATCCTCACGCAGCTGCCAAAATACACGCACAAAGTTGGAAAACCTTGGTCTATGATGAATGCGAGGAAGCAAATACAACACAAGAGTGCTACCATCTTCAGGGTTGATGTGAAGGATGAGACATGTAATTAATAATAGCAATAATAATGAGCAATTATAATAATAATTTATTATTATTTAAAATGACTTATTATTATAATTGTTTATTACTATTGTTATTATGATGTTTGCAAAAGCACAAGAAACCATTGGTGAGTGCGAACAACAAACATGAAGCATAATAATAATAAGTAATAATAGTGGTAATAATGGGGCGCGTGTAGCGTAGTGGTCGGAGGCGCTCTGTAGTACACATGGGATCGATCCCCACGGGCCCAGGCTTACCAAGCCCTCCATCCCTCCGGGTCGGCGCATTGGTACCACACTTGCCTTCGGCGATATCAGCACTAGCTCGATACATCGGTATGCCACCGCGAGTAAGGTTAGATATACCTTCAATCACCTCCAACGATGCTTAATGAAGTCGAATGCGTAGCGCACCCCTCAGGGGTTGATCGACGTCGACGGTTTAATCTTTTGTCCTTTGATAATAACAACAATCAGCAACAGTAATAGTAGTAACAATAATAATAAACCTTTTGCTAGGTGAAATTGCAGCAGAGAGGAAGGAGTCATTGGGAGCATTTTTACCAACATGACCCACATATGACTCATTGCGTGAGCTGTCGCCATTAACCGTTTTCCCATTCGTCAGCCACACAAAATGAGGTGTCATCATCAGTGTATTAGTGACTCTTTCTACTTCTGTTCAGCAAACACGAGGTACTATTTTATTTCTTTATTTACGTGTAAGCTGAGGTACAAGCTGAGCTTTTTAGCCGAGGTTAATAGAAAGGCGGACGTGGGAGTGTATTAGTAATGTTTAATGGTCACAAGATTGGGAAAACAACAAAGCAGCGCAGAAAAAAGCACTGCATCACACTTCAATCAACTCGAAGGACTTCGATTTTTGCTTTGGCAGAACCGTGAACGACCTGCTAATCCCTACATAGCATAGATCCTTTCTAAAAGCATTCCTTATAAAATTACATTGGTGAAATGACCATCGTCAAACATATTGGGACGTTTTCGAGCATTAATGTCTTGAGATTTTCAACCGTATTACGAAGCTTTTGAAACAAAACTTCAACTGTCCTTTTTTGAACACTTGAATGACCCATCGTCACGAGTTGTGTAGGTCCAGCACTTTTCTCATTTATTTCATTTCTTCACTATCCAGTTCCTGTTTACACTATCTATTTACGACACAGCCAAAGCTGTTTAGAGCCTTAGAGCCCCATTGCAGTGGCTAACGAAGTTGCTCCATTGTTACGAGAAGGTTGTATGAATTGATGAAAAAGCTTTTGTAAATTCTCTATTGTAATGTCATACTCAGTGGAACACTCATAGAAAGCGGCTCTGAGGGAGGCGAAATCCGCTGAAACGTCTCTATTGTAAGTCTGTTGGTTAAGTTAACTCTTTAATTAAGTACTATGTTGTGAACTACGTTGCACTACTTTCTTTTTTTTATTTTTTTAGGCTTTTTTATCCGAATTTTATAGGCTTAAATCTCTTCGAGATAAACCGAGACATATTTTTATATTCAGTTCAGCTTGATGAAGTCGAAGATATCCAACTAATGCAATCAGTAGTTCGATCCCCGCAACCCAGTA